TGATGGGATTTGGAAAGGAAAAGAGAAAAGTCTAATGTGGTGTAGCAACAGAGTCAAGCTGAAGCTTGTATATTTTTATGCTCAACTAGGTGTCTAGGTCATACTGAAGTCCCTTCAGAGAGCCAGTCCAAGAAACAGAAGGAAAAAACAAGAGATTTCCCTGCCTTATTTCTCCTGATCTTGTACAGGGACAGCGTGCCTTGACATCCAACCAACTCGATCCATTCCATTGCATAATAACCCATTTTAATTCCATCACCTGTGCTGCTGTTTCAGCTCTCAGCCTCTGAATGGAGGGGTTAGGTTATAGCTGCAGGCTCTGAAGCAGGTTATGTGCTCAACAGAGACAGGAGGCCACAAAATGACACCAAAGTTCAGATAGAGTTAAAGGCTCATGGACCAATTTGTTGCGACAGTGAGTGCCACTGTTCAGTAGAGGATGGTGATACAAGCAACCAACCAACCAACCATGGTTTTTTGGTTCAATTTTTTGGCTTGTCTTCCACTAATTTGCTGCTTGCATGCCTGGTTCTCACAGAAACGTCTCTGGATAGGCTTGTCCTGCCTACTAAAAGATGGTTCTTGGACTATGCCAATTATGCTGGATTCATTTTTTCGGACGACGCAGACACGCACGCGCACCCAACCACCTTTAATTTGTACACCCTAAGTGCGTCTTGTTAGCATGTACACCTAAATTAATCGATGTAAACAGGACATCCAAGGCCCTGAGCCTTTTTTTTTCTTGTAAAGACCCATATACTGTATCCTTTTTTTATTCAATGAAATTGGTCGCTTGCCGATTCGTTAAAAAAAAAAGACATCCAGAATTGAACCATTTTATATGTAGCACGGATGAAAATTGTATGGAAATTTCACATTGTATGATGGCACCAATATCATTTTAATAAAAATAATATAAAAACGATATCGTTTTCTATCATTTTCGTTTGTCATATATTAATTTATTTTTTCTAATATCTTTCGGTGTCATATTTAAGTCGTCACTTAATAATTAAATTTATAAATATGAAAAGGTCCTAATCATACCAAGATCATACCTAAAAATAAATAAAAGTGATATCATTTTCGATTATTTTCACCCCTAATACAGTCATCCTTCCACGAATCCATCGATCGACTGCGTCTTCATAGCATACACCTAAATCGGTGCAAACACATAATCTCCGCATGATGTCCAAACGCAGAGCGTTTTTACATAGAGTCATGCTTCCACAACTTCGCCGCAAACATTATTCACCACCATAGTACTCAAATTTCACTCCAAGAAAAGGTGGTAGCGCATTTCTTTCAGATCGAAAAGGACACTACATGCCGGAGTTTGAGCTTAGCCAAAGCTCTACATGTAGAGCCTATGTAGCCCGTCGATTTGATCACGCCAACCACTGCACTCACAAGTAACAGCAGCAGCCAGCAGTGACCAAACAGTCTGAACCACTGTTAGTTAGTTGAATGGTGCTGTGTAACACCTGAGCCGATTCGATCCCCTCTCGCTCGTAGCTGCAGCTAGCCGTGATGACAACGTGACGATCCCAACACAGTGATCACGAGGGGGGCAGCGAACAGAACACACAGGGCTCTGATCACGGCGACATGACTTCCCTGACGAACACGAGCATGAAAAACGAGCACGGTTGGGATGGTTGGCCTGACGAATCCCTGCAATTTCTAGCTAGCTAGCTAGCTGCAGTGACTGTGGATGCATCTAGGGATGGAGATGGAAAGATTTGAGCCCCAACAAACTTCACTATAACTAGTATTTGTTATAGAAATTTCATCATCAATTCATTTAACAACATGTAAGTTTAATGGAGTTTTCGCCGGAGAGCCCAATTGACCACCCAGGGTAGCCGTGCAGTTTAATGGAGTTTTCGCCGATGAGCCCAAGTGACCGTCTAGGGTAATCGGGCGGTGGCTCCACCCCTGAATGCATCCGTATGCTATCTACCTCCGTCAGTCCAGATTCATACCTAGAAATTTATTTTTATTTTTTACTTTTTTACGGAGAGGGAGTGGTTTACATGCAAGGCCATGCAGACCCTAGCTGGGTCGATCAGTTTCAGGCTTTCAGGTCGTCTCTGCTTGCAAATGGATATGGAGGGCCATGTGATCTTGAACCCTGGGGGCTGGACATGCCTGCTTGACCTGCCACCCCAACTAACCCAGGCGTCAATCTGAAGTTAATTCAGGGATTCAGAATTTTCAGATGCAGTGAGCAGGACAGTGTCAGTGTCGTGCAGAACGGTGACCTGCATAGGAGTCTCCTCTCATGCTAGGAGCTCCAGCTCTGACAAAGTCAACCATTTAATTTCATTTTCTCTTCAATGTTTAGATGGAGAGTTGGAAACTTTTGGCATGAAAGCATCTCTCCAACTCTTTTCTCTTTTTTTTCAGAGAAATATGACCAATAATAAATTGCTCACGTGGGCAATGGATCCCTGATGTCTGTAATATATAGTACTCTGTCTCGCTATCTTTCTTCTCCTGAGCTAAGTGGTGGTTAATGCAGTGATTGGCTGAGTACTAGGCTAAGCCATCAGTCATCACTGGGTGATGGACTGATGGCTCATCAAATTTTCCATTACTGATGGACTGACAGTAATGCCTCCTAATTGCAATGCTGGAGTAGCTGTCATTCTGTCAACGAGAGAGAAAAGCAACGTGTAACAAACTCGATGCTTAGGTGTTAAGAGTTTAAGGCCGGACAGTGCAAAACTGCAAATGTGTGATTAAACCTTTGCAGAACCGGATAGTAGTTTCAGCTCCACATCATACTGACACAACGAGAGTGGCAGCAATCCTTTGCAAATGCTAGATGCTGGCGGGTAGGCAGGTTTCTGAATCTTTTTAGGGACAACCGAATTGCAAATGACAAGTATCTGATCACACCATGGTGGCGAACCATGCAAGATTCAGTTCAGGTTTGCAGGTGGACAGGAAATGGGCAAACGAAATTAGATGTAGATTAATGTGGTCCATATCTCTCTCTCTCTCTCTCTCTCTCTCTCTCTCTCTCTCTCTCTCTCTCGTCACAGGTTTTTTTCTATTATTTAAAACTCCTATTATCTATCATATTTCACAAAAAAGAAAAAAAAGATGTAGATATAGATAGATAGATAGATAGATAGATAGATAGATAGATAGATAGATAGATAGATATTGAAACATACATGGAGTACAACGAAAGGGCACATCCAAGCAAGCTGCTATTGGTGCCACGGAGTCTTTCATTTCCATCAATACGATAATGAAATATATGCTAATCATTATTATGCGCTGACAAAACACCAGGCCAGTACGATGGCTCGCTGCCATAGAGCCCATAAATCTTGTGTCAGCAATTCAGCATCATTGTTATTAAGGACTATAATAGCAAGTGCTCACAACCATAGGAGTATGCCACAAGCTGCCAGTGCAGGCACTGGACTTCTGTTAAGAGCTGAGAGCAATGGAAAACCGAACAATTGTTAACTTAATTGGTGATTTGCTGCAGCTGACACATACATTGATCGGCCTGATTGTGAGTGGCTTAATTAACTATGGTCTTCACTGGAGAGCTGGCCACTAAGGTGGTGTTTGGATCCAAGTACTTAACTTTAGTCTCTGTATTTAGACACTAATTTAGAGTATTAAATATAGACTACTTACAAAACTAATTACATAAATAAAAACTAATTTGCGAGACAAATTTTTTAAGCCTAATTAATCCATAATTAGATAATGTTTACTTTAGCATCACATAGGCTAATCATGAATTAACTCGCGAATTAGTCCAAGATTATGGATGTGTTTTATTAATAGTCTATGTTTAATATTTATAATTAGTGTTCAAACATCCAATGTGATAGAGACTTAAAAGTTTTTAGTCTCATCTAAACAGGGTCTAAATGCCTTATGCATCTGATAAGTTAGTATAGGATTATGCTTCATACCTGCCTGTTTAAATGCTGGCCCTGCGCTGCAGGGACCCCACATTCTTCAGATATGTGGCTAATTTGCAATGTTTTGCCTGGGTCTTTGATGTTGCTTTCTTGCCACCAAATGCAATTAGAAATAGCTCCTTTCTGAGTAAGAGATAGATACTGCATGCGACCTGTCGGCTGGGATCACTACACACATTACCTCAAGATACATTTGGCTGAATTGGTTTTAAAAGACTCTTTTTTTTAAAAAAAAAAAAAGCTATATGTTTTAAAAGACCAAAGCCAAAAGGTTGGCATAAAAGCCCAAGTCTAAACAAAGAGGGCATTGGTCTTATGCTTTTTATCTTATAACCTGCCTAATAAGCACAAAGAGACTGTTTTTTTACCTGCTATCAATGTAGGCTACAAGGTACTATGCGACGCTTGTAGCTTGGGTAGCAGTAGCCACTGGCATCAACTTACTTGAGATAACATCACAAATTCACCATAAATACACGCCATACCGCGTGGAAGAATAAGCAATGCACCTTTCTGTATTAATCAGCTTTGCACACTTGTATTGTCGGCACCATCTACGGTTTCGCATCTTTTCTGAAAAGAATTCATCACGTTGTCCATATGCCTAAAATTTGTATCGACCTGGCCAATTCCTAGTCAAGTAATTTAGTGACATATTTCATTTATCATCCATTTATTTTTTTGATGTGCGTGCAAAGCTACTGTGCATTTGTGCAACAGAGCTCAAGCTCCACCATTCCTTAATGTGATATGCCCAACCCACACAGTAGCACACTGCTGGTTCATCTAGGAAATAGTAAATTGCCTATGCCTCCATTGGTAAGGAAGGAAGCTTTAGAAGTCCACATCCTACTTTGATGAGCTGAGCAATCAATTAACATGGTGGAGTACTGGAGTTAACGGCAACACCTTGGTGATATCTGAACTCTGAATGGTATGTAAAGTATTTGCATATTTGGCTGAAAACAATTAACTACTTTGCAAATCATGTGTGCCACATTGAGTGTCTTAGAATTAGTATATGGGAAATACACAAAATGATAAGTAGTATAACAAGTTCATTTAGGTGGGAATAACCGTAGGATATAATTCAGTTAGCCAAGGTATCAAGTATCAACAATGCAAACCTCATCAGACACTTTCTCTTCTGACGGAAACACTCTTGACTTAACAAAATACCTCTAAGTGATATAAACATAGGGTGGCTGCAATCTGCAAACTTAATCTTAGCAAGCACTAACTTCTCCAGAAGAAATATATATGTACACGAGACTACAAGAGTAAGATAGGTACAGTAGTAAGAATATTACAAGGACCAACAAAAGTTCAACCAAATGAACTAACATTACCAGAGTCATGGATGGAAGTAGGGGTCCTCCTTGTTCTGATATATTGAAAACAACTGTTTTGAGTAACGTGCGGCGAGCTTGTGACAGAATTCAAGAGCATAACGATCGTACTGCTCCAAATCATGGACAGTCTTCTTAAGCGGGCCAAAAGTATCACCATCAAGAAGAAACTCCGCTATGGAAGATCCCCTATACAAATAAAACAACTTTCAGTCTGAGAAATATGGACTCCAAGTACAATGGAAGTTAAATAAACCCAAACCAAACCTCTTTCAGCTATACCCTAATTAAGACCTTATTACAAAGAGGTCAATAGCCAAACTTGAGTACTGGAGCGGATACAATATTTTCTCTTAGAAAACAGGCATGGTTATGTGTGTGTTGTTAATAACTTCCAGGTTCATAGAGCCTCAAGCTAGGTCAGTTGTAAATTCATAAAACTAGAGTTTGGCATTTGGATTGTTGACAGTCCAACCTACAGCACTGTAGTCAGTGTTGGTGCACATGGTCAATACAGGAACTGCCACAATAGATATGTTAATCCACTGATAGAAAATGTCATCTCACCTAAATACAAATTATTTAATCTTCAGTAACGGTTCATATGAAAGTTATCGCTAGAAACAAAAAAAAGTTGTCTTTTGAACGCTACTTTTTGCAAATTTTGAGTGGTAGGGCTGATATCAAGACAAAACAAAATAAGTAATGCAGAATGTAAAAGATGCGAATTATAAGCAAAACTGCTAACTAAGTTAAACATGAATGAAGAGGGGACTCCCATTACATATACAGAGAGTAACTACCCAATAAGCATACCTTGCGGCATCAATCTGGTTAAATCCTTGCTTGTTATGCAAAATGGTGGCCTTTACTTCCTGTTCATCCTTAGTTTGCTTTCGATAGAGAGCACAAACAGCTTTCAAGCAAAGTTCAGGGTGTGCAGCAAATGCAGATAGCATCTCTGCCTCATACTTCCATTCCTTGGCATTCCTTTTACGGCCTATGCAAGCCATAACGTCTTTATAGTCTATCTCATTGTCAGACTCTTCAAGTTCTGAAGAGGATCCTTCACTGGGGGCAGAAGCATCAGATTCTTCTGGTTCAGCAGAATTCGCAGAATTTTCTGAACAATCCGAATCATTTATTATAAAGTCATCCAAATCATCATCTTCATCTGAGTCACTCGCACTCTCTTCACAATCCTTGGGTTCAACAAAGTTGAGCACCCGACGCGCAGACTGTGCTCTCTTTGGCTGACCTTTAGCTAACCGAGCCGAACGCCTGGTTGCAGGTGTGGAAGACCCATTAGTCTCACCGAATCCACCACCACCCTTGCTCGCCCTCTCTTTTCTCATCTTCTTGACCACTTCACGAATGGGAATCATATCATCATCACTACTCTCGATCTCTGTCACGACTACATGAGCACCATCGACACCATCCTCATCCTCATCTTCGTCCTCATTGTCACTGATTCCACGCAGAGCACGCTTCCTACTCCGCGTGACGCCCTTGTCCTCATTCCCATTGTCTCGGACGCCACGCAAAGCACGCTTCCTACTACCATCCTTGCCCCTCCTCCCATGGCCACCCTGGCTCTCAACCTCATCTTCACTATCGCTGGTGACAACCAGCGCGGCGGCGCGCTTCCTATCGGGCAGCGCGGTTGTAACATCATCATCCTCGAGACCCACATTGTCGCCACAGCTAACGCTCCCATGGTCGCCTCCATCACCATCACCATCCCCCTTGGCGTCATCAATCTCGTATTCATCCCCGCTCTCGCCGATCACCACCCGCAAAGCAGCACGCTTCCGAGGAGTCGCAACCGCATCCATCCCCTCCTCCGCGCCTCTCCCCTTCCTGACGTCAACAGCCATCCCCTCCTCCTCGCCATCACTAACCTCAATGACATCACGCGCCACACGCCCTCCCGCCATCTCCTCCGATCGACGGAGATTTGGGCCTCCCTTACCTGTACTACGATCCGCCATGGCCCTCCTCAAGCGCGCGTTCTCGGCTTCGAGGAAGGAGACCCTGGCCTCGAGGGAGGCGATACGGGACGACTTGGCGGCGAGCACTACCTCGAGCGCGGCGGCCTTCGCCGCGGCGCTCATCTCCGGCGGTCGCGGCGGCGGCGGCGGCGGTGGCTGAACCCTAGCGACAGCGTCAGCCGGAGACTGATGCCGCTGCAAGCCTGCAAGGGGAGAAGACGAATAGACAAAAAAAAAAAAATGAGTGCAACAAAATAGATTTGTTACTCCGTAACTGAAAAGAAAACGGAGTTTCCTTGGGCCGATTGTTGGGCCGAGAAAGGGCAAGATTTGGTGTCTTTGGACTTTGGAAGGGGTGCGAATTGGGCCTTTTTTTAGGTCTCAACGACTCCCTCTAGAAAGACCGATGTGTTTGGGTGAAATTTGCAAATACTGTAGTGGTTTCATAAGCAAGTGGAATAAGTTCATCTAAGGTCCCTTAACTTGTCAACGAATCGGATTTCTATCCTTCAACCGCAAAACCAGATAGAACGGGTCCTTCAACTATTAAAACCGGTGCAGATTAGGTCCCTTGGCGGTTTCGACGGCGGTTTTGGCTGACGTGGCGCCTACATGGCTAATTTTACTTGGTCTCGATATGACGTGGCACTGGCGCTTACGTGGCAATTTGACCCGAAAAAATAATAAACCTCGTGGGACCCACTTGTCAGTTTCATACAGAAATTAATAAAAAATGGTGGGGCCCACGCGTATCATTCCCACCCCTCTTCTTCCTGTCCTCTTCCCCCATCTCCCATCTCTTCAACTCTCTCTCCCATCTCTTCTCCTGCGACGGTGGCACGGGCGATTCGGGGCAGCAGCGGGTCTAGTAGTCCTCCGGTGCCAGCGGCTGGTGCGCGCCGCCGTGCGGGGTGGCGTCGGTGGACGGGATGACGAGGTACTCGTAGAGAAGCCCGGCGAGGCCGGCGCCGATGAAGGGACCGAGCCAGTACACCCAGTGGTGCCTCCAGCGCCAGCCGACGAGCGCTGGGCCAAACACCCTCGCCAAGTTCATCCCGGTGCCGTAGAACGGCCCTCCGGCGAGCATGTGTCAAGAGATGTTGCATTAACATATAGCATTGTCAATACATGCTTGATAACACAGGCAATTAGCAGAGAATGTGCTAGTGTTAGACTGATAAATGAGGATGTATACCTCCCGGAAGTCAGAGACGTCGTCGTCGGGGTCAGGTACCTCGTGGAATTCGTCCTCGTTGCCGGAGTAGTCGACCACGGTGTCGGAGGCGGAGTCCTGCGTGGAGACGAAGCTCTGGGCGGCGACCATGGCGATGTCCCCCTCCTCCTCCTCGCCCTCCCTGGACAGCGGCCGTGGCGACGCCTTGACAGGGGCGAGCAGGCGGTCGTAGTCGACGTTGGACAACGCGCCTCGCTCGCCTGCTCCGGCGTCCACCCGTGCCGTCCGCCGCCCGGAAAGAAGAGAGAGAGAGAGAGAGGGGAGAGGGGAAAGGGGAAAGGAAGAAGAGAGGAGTGAGGATGAAGAAGAGAGAGAAGGGAGAGGGAGGCTGGCATGTGGGCCCACATGAGCCCCACCATTTTTTATTAATTTCTGTGTGAAACTGACATGTGGGTCCCACGAGGTTTATTATTTTTCAGATTGAATTGCCACGTAAGCGCCACGTCAGTGCCACGTCAGATCGAGACTAAGTCAAATTAGCCACATAGGCGCCACGTCAGCCAAAACCGCCGTCAAAACCACCAAGGGACCTAATCTGCACCGGTTTTGATAGTTGAGGGATCCGTTGTATCTGGTTTTGTGGTTAAAGGACGAAAATCGGATTCGTTGACAAGTTAAGGGACCTTAGATGAACTTATTCCTAAGCAAGTTCATAGCTACCATAAGGCTCCACATTTCCTTAAGCTTAGTTCTTTTCTTCATTTCCAAACTTCAACTTCCTAATTTTTCGTTAGCACGCTTTTCAAACTGTTAAATTGTGTGTGTTTTGAAAAAAAGAAAAACTCTATATAGAAACTGTTTAAAAAATTCAAATCAATCAATTTTTCAATTTTATAATTATTAATACTTAATTAACTATGTGCTAATAAGCTTTCTCGTTTTACGTGAGCTGAGAAACTCTCTCCAACCTGACAGAAAGAACGCCACCAAGCTAGTAAAAAAAATGGAAATATTACACGTGTATAAACATGTTTATGTTTTTATATGGTATATTATATAGTTTGGGATGGAGGGAATACTGTAAGTATAATTGTGTAGGTCCACTTCGGAATTTATAGGACAGATTTGTATCCACTATTAAAAAAGCATCAGCACTCAGTAAACCAATCGAGTTGTAAACTATTATTTCCCTTTAGTGAGACTTATTTGAACGTTTATTGGTTTGTTGTTGGATTGACGAAACCATGTCGAGCGGTGGTTGTATAGTTCGAGGCGTATACAAATTGGGCGTCCGTTTTTTTTTTTTTTACAAAAATCGGGCATTGTTTCATCAAGTAGATCAAAAATGTTTCAATATTACTTCCTCCGTTTCACAATGTAAGTCATTATAGCATTTCTCACATTCATATTGATATTAATGAATTTATATATATATATATATATATATATATATATATATATATCTAGATATATTAACATTAATATGAATGTAGGAAATGCTAGAATGATTTACATTGTGCAATGGAGGAAGTATGAAAAGGCTGAAACACAACCAAATCACGGTTTCCAAAAAAATCGAGCGTTTCAATTCACTGCAAATGGCGAAAGGATGTTTCAATTCACTGCAACATTTGATCCATATACAGTGAAACATCACGAGTATACTTGTTGAAACATTATTGGTGAAATAAAAAATGAAACGGATTTACTTAATAGAGTATTTTCTTAATATGCGGGTGATTTGTTATAACAGCACGTATGGTAAGACGCGTGGGGGAGGGGGGGCAGCTTGGAGGTGCAGGAGCGAGCGGGTGCCCGATTTTTCTGCCGCCGATCGGGCGCCCGATCGCTGGCATTTTACCGTATAGTTGGAACAATACATCTCTACACCCTCCGTTATAAAAAAAATAGTTTTAATTCCAACTACGTGTGTTCAGGTTCATGGTTAGATGAAATGGAACGGAAGGGTAGTTCCGTGTACCGCCGGAGGATATTCCCAGCGTACCAGCATCTAGGCTCTGCGCTTTTTCCAACCGTATGCGCGTGTGCGTGTGCGCTTACCGTTGGAGAAAAGATCGGCCATCGTTTGCAGGAAGGACGTGCCACTGTACACAGAAGTCACAGATCCCATTCATCGCCTCACATTCCTGCGTGCGACCAACCAAACCACGCCTTTTTTTTCGTCACCCGGTCGATCGATCGACGATGGAGCAGAGCTCTCCGTGCCGCCGAAAACGAAAGGCGCGCGCATCGTACCACCAACCTGTGCTGTCACGGGGCCGCGCGTCTCACGTGCGCGCACCACGCCGCCGTCGGTCGCAAGCAGAAGCAGTGCAGCTGGCCGGTTTCTGCTTCTCTCGTCTCCTACTCTCCTCTGCTTTGCTTTGCTTTGCTTTGCCGTGGAGTGGTAACCGAATGGTTGGCCGGCTGATGGCCAGGGTCAAATTGGGCTGGCAGATCTTGTTGGAGCTCTCCGACTCTGACGCCGCCCAGCAATCCAGCATCGATCGTGTATCTTCCTTTCGGTTACTTTTTGTGATGGAGCTAGTAAGCTAGTATGGAAGTAGTAGCAGTAGTTTAATGGGATCGGAGGACGTTGTTTTTACGCAATGCGCATGCAAAAAACACTTTTGGTAGTGGCTTTCAGGCATCTTTGGTTTGACCTCGCTGATCGACGATCGTGTCTTGATCCTGAATTCCTGATCCTGTGTGCTTAATTGCTCCTCTCTGAAGAACGATGACGACGTGTGCGCGCTGTTGTTTTTTTGTCCCATGTCTCTGCACAGAGCCACATATCAGTTCATACTCTGCTCCGCCATAAACATTGCCGATTCGGCTGGCATCCATCCATCCATTCCACCGTAGTCGTACCCCGCCCTCTGCTTTTACTAGTGCATCTCCGTCTCGCTGCATTGACCTGTCGCCGTTTGTACGTAGCCACCCACACGACGCGCGCTGCCGCTGCTCACACCTGACCTGATCACCTGAGCCAGTCCACGTACGTACGCCCGACGCCCACCGGTCCGCGTCACGCGTCCGGTTAGTTGGCCCACGACGACACGAGCACTCCCAGCCGCGAACACCGCAAAATCACCCCAAAATCACCGTCTACCCCGACACTTTTCACGCTCCTGCGTCCACCGGCCGCGGGACGGACGAGACCACACCTCGCGTCACATGCGCGACGTGACCCACCCCCGCGCTCGCTCGTACTCACACCCGTTCCATCCGTCGCGGTTGACCCCGCGCAGCATCAGCAGCAGCGGCAAAAAGCGCGCGCGTCTCATGAGCCCGGTTGACCTCGCGCGTGCGGCGTGTCGTGTCGTGTGTGTGCGTGCCAACCGCGCGCGCGTCACGGCCTCACGGGCGGGCGCGCGGACGCCGCCCGTTCGCCCCCGCGTGTTAATGCGGGGGGCGTGCAGCAGCAGCAGCTAGAGGAGGCGTACACGCGCGGGTCGCTCTCGGTGACTCTCTCCACACCTCGGACGCCACCGCACGGGTGACCAGTTGTACTCCCCGCTTCACCTGCATCTCTTTTCTCGTGACCATCACCACTACGATATTTGCAGTTGCAGCTAAGCTAGCCGTGCGCGGGTATAAAAGCCGCTCACCTGCCTCCGTTTCGTTCACAGAACACCACTGCAAGCTAAGCTTAGCTAGCTCTTGTACAGGTTTCCTCACCTGCTGTATCGATCGATCTTGTTGTGGCCATGGAGATGATGGCGGCGAGCGGCGGGCAGCAGGCGGCGGGGTGCGGGGGGAGGTACTTCCAGATGCCGCTGCACTACCCGAGGTACAGGAAGGAGGACTACGAGAGGATGCCCGAGTGGCAGCTCGACCGCCTCCTCTCCGAGTACGGCCTCCCCGTCGATGGCAACCTCCAGCACAAGCGCGCCTTCGCCATCGGCGCCTTCCTCTGGGGCGCCGGCGGCGGAGCCAACGCCGCCTGATCCATCGGCCGATCGACAGCTACCTGATAGATGAATCGACAGTCGATGATCGATCGACACACACTGATCGATCTTGCAGGCTAGTATTATGCTTTGATATATGGATACAAGTGTTTTGTAATTAAGGAGGCATAGGAGTATGATCTACTGCTAGCTTAGCTAGTTTTTTGTACGTCTTCTTTGCGAGTTCTGAGTATTTTGGACTTTGGAGTAGGCTAGTGTTGTGATCGAGTTGTGACCATGTGAGGATTGACTAGCTAGCAGCGCTTAATTCCGTTGTTTGTATCATACCTATACAGTACGCTACTCTCGTATAATAATGTGTCTTTTCATACTACATCCTACATCTACTGATATACATGTACGGATCGATGTACCATGCTACCAGCTTCTTCTATATGGACTAGTACTATTATATAGACTTTGTTTATTTGTGATGTGTGCATCCTTAACTATTAAACAGCTTGACGACACGCATCATGCATGTGTGATCTGTGTGATCAATACGAGCTGTTGTTTTGCTGCATGCATGCTCGATGCATGCTATATCTGATCGATGAGAAATCTAGGTGATAAGTAGGTACACACGTTTAATTTCAGCGTCTCCGTTGGAAGTAGATGGGCCATGGTTTTCATCAACCCAACAAGGCTTCTTACCTCCATGGTCCTTTTCAGGCCCATCCCCATAGCCAGGCCGAAACTTTAGTTCATAGCACCGGCCCACACATACCGATACGGTCCGTGATGTGATTTCCCATTAGGCCCAATAACTTAATACTTAATACTAATGACAGTATTAGGAAAGATTTTGAAAAAAAAAATTAGATTTTTTTACTGACAGATAGAAAATTTTTTAAGTTGGATTTGAAAACTTTCGATTTAAGATTTAAATTTTAAAGTCAAATTATGAAAACTTTTAACTCGGATTTGAAAACTTTCAAGTCCAGATTTGAAAATTTTGAAAACTTTTAACTTGAGATTTGAAAATTTTCAACTCGAGATTCGAAAACTTTCAAGTCCACATTTGAAAATTTTGAAAACTTTCAACTTGAGATTTGAAAATCGAAATTTGAAAACTTTCAACTCAAGATTTGAAAACTTTCAAGTTCAAAATTGAAAATTTTTAAGTTACGATTTAAAAATTACTAGTAAACTAATCACTAATAAAAATAGGAAACTAATAACTAGTAAACTAATTATGATTTTTTCTCCTATCCATACGGCAGCGAACTGCGAAAAAAGAAAAAAGAAGAAGAAACGGCGGTAGCAAAAACTGCACAAAAAAAAAGAAAAACGAGAAAAGAAACGCGCACGGGTGCCGTGGGCCTTGTGGGCCAGAAGTGAGCACCGGCAACCCGCGCGCGAATTAGCATTCACGGTAACTTAATGGGTCTGGCTATATCTTCGGCGCCACGTCTTTTTAATAAAAACAATATTTTTTTCACACGATAATATACATCACTGTAATTTTTGAACTTCAATCGTAAATTCCAAACCTGCGCTATAATTTAAAATTTTACTGTAAATTCTCTATGATAAAACAACCTAGTCTGACTATTTGTGCAGTCTTGAAGAGCTCACGCTTCAAAACAGTTATAAATATTTTTTTCTTGTAAAAAAACTTATGGCTGCGAATATGGATATAGACTATGTTTAGATTTATATTTATAGTTAGAAGTTGATTTTTTTTTAAGTACGGAGGAAGTAGCCGTTGGTATTTTTTTCTATTTAGATTGAGTGAACTCTAATAGTATGTCGAGTGAGGAAAAGATACCAATGTATCGTCAGATGTGGAGGAGTTGAAAGCGAACCATACCATTGCCGTCAATCCAACTTATCAACCTGTAAAGTTTTCTGTCCATTTACCATTCACAGAAACCACTGTCTAGGAGCAGCGAGATTCGCTAATCATCTAAACGAAACCATGCGGTTTTTAATAGGAGTATTAAAAAACCGGTGCAAGTGTTTGAGTAAAAAAATTCAAATATAACTTACAGTACAACAGTAACTGCGATATAACTTATATAGAACTCACATTAATTCAACTATAATTTAGTTAGATAACACTAGGATCTTATGTGTGTGACACCGTGACGTGTGAAAGTTTGTTTATAGTTATTCTTTTTTTCTCTTCATGAATAAATCTCGAGGGATCTGATGGTCACATATCTGATAGTTTTGAGGGGAAAAAAATACTTACGGAAGTTTTCTAGTAAATTCTTTTTTTATTCACTGCGGTAGAGTTCGGTTTGATGTATCATCTATATATAATATAGTAATTTGGTTTTTAAGGTGGTGTTTAGAAAGGAGAGACTAAAGCAAACACCACCTCAGTATGGCCTCTACGATGCTCTAAAAAACAGAGAAGTAAAATAACCTCTTAATTAACTAATTAATGTAATTAAATTACTCCTGACAAATCTAACTCATCCATTTGCTGGTGAGACTTGACATCCCAAAGTCAAATCCAAGTACTCCCTCCGTCTAAAAAAACAAACTCTAACCTTCCGTGTCCAACTTTGACTGTCCGTCTTATATGAAATTTTTCTATAATTTATATTTTTATTGTTGTTAGATGATAAAACATGATTAATATTTTATGCGTGACTTTTTTTTTAAATTTTTTTAATAATTTTTTTAAATAAGACGGACGGTCAAACGTTGGACACGCAAACGTTAGACACGAAAACCAGTATTTATTTATTTATTTTTTTTTTGACGGAGGTAGTACTCTCGTAGAAATTCGTCGAGCAAAGATATCATCGTCATTAAAGTATCATCCATCCATATTCATCCGTACAAGCACAATGTGGTCGCTGCTGACAAAGAGGGCCCACATGCAGCGTCACAACCCGGAGCCTTCGAAGATACTACTACTCCCCAATTGCGTCGTCGTGTCAGCCTCCGACCGTCTCCCCGGACAAGCGCTCCACCCGACGCCACGCGGCTGCAATAATATCTCAACCCAAATCCGCAGAGCGAGCAGCGAAGAGAGCAAAAAAAAAAAAAGTCTTCGTTTTTACCAAGTTCACACACTCGTCGTCTCCCCCATTTCCTCTATCCGATTCAAAGCTCGAATCTTGCTGAAAAAGGAGGGAGCTTTTGGGGTAGGGATCATGGCTCACCTGCTGCAGCTTCCAGACCTCGCGGCGGCGAGGCCGCCGGCGGCGCGGAGGAGGATCGCGGCGGCGGCGGTGGTGGTGGCGGAGGCCAGGGGCGGGGTGAAGCAGCAGCAGCAGCAGGTGGCGGTGGGGAGGGTGATCAGGGTCGCCGACCCCGTGCGGGAGGGGAGGCTGCTGCTGCTGCCGCCGCCGCTCTTCTCCGTGCCGGTCACGCCGTCGGAGTCGCCGGCGGCGGCGAGGCGGCGGGAGGAGGACGAGGAGGAGCGGCGGAGGTACTACCTCAACATGGGGTACGCCATCCGGACGCTGAGGGAGGAGCTCCCCGATGTCTTCTCCAAGGAGCCCAGCTTCGACATCTACAGGTTAGTATTGTCGTGCTTTGATTTGAGGAGAAGATTTTTGATCCTTAATTGATGCAAGAATTTGAGCTAGATTTCATGAATTGGGCGTGAATTAGTGGCGAGTGCTCCGATTGGTAGCTTAATTACATGTTTTACTTGGAGGGCATGCAGTTGCCAGTTTATAGACTTTGTATGTTGTATCTTGATTGGAGTAGTTTGCAATAAGTTGTGTCATGTGGATGTACATGTTTGGGAATTAGACCATGTGTTTGCTGTAAACTGAATAGCTGATATCAATTTCTAGCCTGTTCTGCAGTACTCCCAACCAGGGTTTCTAGCCTGTAGATGTACATGTTTGGGCGTATTTGTTTCTGTTAGTTTCAAATTGGCGGTGTAGCTTATCGCTGGGTGGCTTAGCTTGGAGTTGGGTTCTCTTGGTGGAGTTGGGCTTGGGCAGCGTATCATAGTTATCAAGCATCAGAATTACCATACATAGGACATGAAACTGCTATATCTAGCTCTGTGATGTATCAGTAGGTGTCTCTTGCTGATATGGTTGTAAACACAACCTTACGATTGCTCAGATGCCTTTTGTGGTGAGCTTGAGCCAACTTTGCCCTTTCTCATTACCTTCATGTTCTAATTCCATGAATTGTTTCAAACAATAAACTTCTAATTATCCTGCGAGTCTCACTCCATCCGATGGTTAAGTACTAGTATTGCAGTATGTGCCCGGTTTTGAATATGTACAGGACCATATAGTAACTACATTTTGATCTGAACTTGAATTACTATATACAGAGAATATCATATATTATTATATCACATGCTATTTTCTAGGTTAGGATTAGTCCTGTATGCTTTATTGTTCCCTCAATCTTGGCCAAGTTCAAATTTTAGTATGTCTTATGTCTTGCTTGACACTTGACACTGTTGCTCTGTTTAGTTGATTAACCTTAGTGTGCTTCTGCATGTATCTACTTATGTGATTCTTTCTAAAGATGCTTATGTAGTCTGCAGTGGTAGGTTGCATTTGCTTATATAGCTTGTTAACCTATTTTAGTCTTATCATCGATCTTTTCACATCTCCATTTGTTACTGCTTGTTCAGAGATGATATTGTCTTCAAAGATCCTCTCAATAAATTCGAGGGCATTGATAATTATAAAAGGATATTCTGGGCATTGCGCTTCACCGGCCGAATCTTCTTCAAAGCACTATGGGTTGATATAGTTAGTATATGGCAGCCTGCTGAGAATCTTATCATGATTCGCTGGATTGCCCATGGCATTCCTCGAGTCCCATGGGAGGCCCATGGTCGCTTTGATGGTGCTTCTGAGTATAAACTCGACAAGAATGGGAAGATCTACGAGCATAAGGTGCACAATGTTGCTATGAATCCACCAACAAAGTTCAAGGTCCTGCCAGTCCACGAGCTAATCAGATCGCTTGGCTGCCCCTCCACACCGAAACCAACTTATTTTGAGACTTCATCTCAATCTTTGAGCGTTGAGCCAGGTTATTTAAGATTGGCATGGACAAGATGCTACCTACTGTTATGCCATATGCTTTCGCTACCAAATCTGGGAGAAGGATAGCATGGATTTAGCATGATATTTCTAAATTTTTGCCCTTTTTTTGTTGAATGATAGTGTACCAAGTCACTAATTGGTAGTACTTGCTGTATATATATGTACAGTGATAATTTTTATAGAATAAGAGTTCTTCCGGTTGATATGTGCAAGCTGCAGTTTCTACTTGCTCAATTAAATGTATCAAACAGTGAGCCAATTTGACAAATCTATCACTGGGGCATCTTCTCTCTGACCAAGTTGATTGGGGGCATATCTGTGTCAACTCTGCATCTTATTTTGCAATGTGATGAATACTTAAACATAATGGTTTACATGAGTTAGCAGCCAGACAGAATAAAGGTTGGACACTGGTGAGATGATGAGATCCTCTCACAATAATCTGTTTGGTAGATGCTGCATGCTATTGCATCGCTCCATGTCCAAGGGCTTCAGTTGTCCAGACTCCAGAGTACTAAATTTTTATGCAGTATAAGGCATTCAGACGCATGGGCAATTACAACGGGGATGCGAAAGACTAAACCATGAAACAGAATGAGAAACTACATAGAAATTTAGGACTTCAGTAAACGGTAATGAAAGTAATACTCTTATGTTACAAATCCATGTCCCTGAAATTTCACATGTTCTGTGGAAAATGCACCAGAGAATTCTGCAGTTTAAGTCCGGCATTGGTTGGACACAAATTAGCCGTCCTATACCAAATCAGAACAGAACAGGAAAAATGAAGGCAAGATTACAAGTTTATGAACGTGCATTATATGAAGAAAACCTATGCTTCCGAATCACGCTCAAAATTATAGAGTACAAAACCTGGCAAAGGGAAACATAATACCTTTCTTCATTGCTAGACTACTAGGTCCAACATGACAAGTCAGTACAAAATAATTTGAAAGGTCTAGCAGCAAGCGGTCTACAAAAGTTCATCTCGTTTTAGAAATGGGAACATATTGCATTTCGTGAATAAAAAAGGAACAAACTCAGCCTGAAGAATGACAAGCCACATATGTTGCTGGTCCAAATTGCTCAGGCTTAACCAGGGAAGCTAATATGTCCCACCGAATAATTGAACCCAAACAGGAGCCACATATTTGATATGAACTCCATTCCGTCTTGTATGTCAATGGAGGAAAGATTTGATGTCCTTACAAAACCTCCACATTCGAAGCCGCCGCTTGCACTGTTGCACATGCTCCTAAATGTCCAAGAGATGCCAGCCGAATAATGCATTTCCGATAGGAATATTATCTTCCAATAATTTGCGGGACTAGCAATTCCTGGGCACCTTTCCTGCACCCATAAGCCCACAAGTTGCTCCTCAGATATGCTTTTCTCTAGCCACTATACACTGTTATATGCATATAAAAAAATTTCCCAATAACTTGTGGATATGCCTATACTTCCCACCGTGAGATGCCTGATTCTTGCAGCCAAGCTAGTTGCTGCTCAACTCAGCTACCTTAATCAGGACCGAACTGTTCTTTCCTCGTGGTTGAGTAGCATTGTATATCTACGAAGATGAAGTAGTGGACTCAATCAGCTTTCCTCAGTAAGTGCCATCAGGTATTCAGGTTTGTGGACCATGTAGGCATCAACCTGTTACTACTTGTTATGCAGGTGCAAGCCTGCAACACCGATGCAGACTGTTCAGAGGAAGACACAAAACAAGATCAGGAAGGGAACATTCCTACATTCTGATGACATGAAAGAATTGTACACGCTTCGAAAGGCACCTTCACTAGTTAAATTTCTCATCTTACTTTACTAGCTACTACTATCCACTTCTGATAATTTATATGGAAAAATAACATTATGCATTAGAAGCGATCAACTTCCATTACCACCAAAATTAATTTGAGTTAAGGAGACTATTCCATAGATGCAATTGACTCTCAAATTTTCTTTGGTCCATGACAGTGTCAGAGATGGCAATGGAGTGGGAGACTGGTGGGGAGGCAAGGCAGTAGCAGTGGTGGAAGAGAATAATTGACAAGTTTGACTGATTGCTATATTATATTATTAACATCTTGTTTATTGTGATAAGTTTGGTTAATTATTTTTAACTTAACAGGTTTGACTCATTTTTAAGTTCTAGCTATTTACCAAGATCAGTTCAATCCAATATCCTATAAAAAGGGAGTGTCCTACAATCATTTTTACAATTCAGAGTTCCTACTTTGGGTGCGACATGGAAGCCCTTAATTCACTCTTTACTTTGGGTGCGATATGGAAGCCCTTAATTCACCCTTTCTCATCATTTAGTTCATTGGATCCAACACATAATAATTTTTGGGCATTGTTATTTCTACTGCACCAAAACACAAGGGATACTTTCCAAGTAAACATAATTTCAACCATTTTTCAACATGCAGAGACTATCATACAACTGAGTGTAGAAATGTTAAATTCAATAGAACATATAGAAACTATTCCTGGTGATGCTTTTGAAAGGAATAGATGCCACACCTTTAACTGATGTGTCCGTAGATAATTGGCCCAGAGAAGATTTTATTATCTGTCATACATCCATCCATGTCAGGTTCACTGACAGCACTGCTCCGATGCTTACACCAATTCCAACATTCTTCCATACATGAGCAGGCCGCGTTGAATCTGATGCCATGCAGCAGGACATCACCTGCTTCAGAATCTTATGCCTACCCTTCAGGAATTCAGCCCCAGAAATGCACAAGTCTAACAGTCCTGCCAAAACACAGACCATCATTGAACTATTGCCACAGCTGATTATTCTAACTTTGATTGACACATTAGCCATAAGTATGTAAACATTTGCAAAGAACAATATTCGAGGACTAATTTTTGACAAATCTAGCAATATGGGTATCATTTCACCTAACTAAATACTCCCTGCTTTGATAAATATATGACTGAATTTGATTTGGTATGGCTTCCAATGTTGAACTTTGTCCATCAAATTCTTTTCGAATTATCAACTACAAAATTGACATAATGTGAAAACACTTAATACGAATTTAATGGCACCACTTGTGTGCCCATTATATCATCAGAGGGATCATTTTAAAATGGTGGTTGTAAGTTTGAATAGTATTGTCACCAGTGACATGTTTCCAATGTCATCTCAACTAATTGGCTTAACAGCTCCTCTCACACTCTTTTATCCAACATAACAATCATTTAAAGAGACATAAAATAGTGGTATACAGAAATACCAAGCGCTACAACATTCATGCCTTGCCACCTTGGTGCAGGCTTGGCTACCTTTTTTACCTCTCAAACTAGTTGTGGGAGTTATCATTGAAATAATTTGAGGATGGAAATGAAACAGCAGCATCAGTGTATGGGCAAGCTGAGAAAAAATCATTACGCCAAAAACCTAAACTTGAATAATTTTTTTTCCAAAAAAAAACTTCATTTATTTGTACCAGAGGAATCACAAAACTGAAGAATCCATTATAATAGTTAATTGGTCAATGCAATAACCAAACATTACCAGAAATTTCTCAGCCTGAATCCCTGGTATGCAAATCAATTAAAATTCTTTGGCCACTGTAAAAGTTCATTCTGGAGTCATTAATTTGGTCTGTTGTGGATCTAAGTAGCCAAAGTAGACTGAACATTTAGTACAGCCTGAAATCCACTCCTTAATGATAGCTTATGGTAGCATCCATCCAAATCGAAGATTCCATGCATATAGAAATGATCTTCTTAAAACATGTCCATTATCATGCAACATATGAACCTGGCAAAACAATACACCGTAAACTGCAAAATCACTGACAGGTAGCTAGCATTATTTCAGATGATATATTCCAATTCTCTATCGACACCTACATTATTGACAAAAGCATCTCGATATCTTATGGATTAATATTTCCAATAATTCTATTCTCCTTACGTGACGCTATGCTGGTTACACCACCCTTTCATCTACTTGCATGGTTGCACCACTATCCTTAACCTCTCAACAGAGCTATATATACCCTCCCTCCATCCATAAGACTACACACTTCCACAGCTCAACCAAAGCATACATCAGCTAGACCAGTGTTATTGATCTCTTCTGTGAAACCCTTAGAGCAATTTCTTAAAAGAGACCGCAAGTTAGAGAATGAATGGAAAGAAGGGTAGTATAAGGATTGACATTTGCCTGAAACCAAAAGATGTGGTGCCAGAAGATGCAAAGAAGCCAATCAGTGAAGAAGGGCTTTCCCCAAGGAAATGGCTACATGATGTCTGGGACTTCGCCAGACAGGATACAAACAGGGTCACCTTTGCACTCAAGGTTGGCCTTGCTTGCCTCCTTGTGTCACTGCTCATACTCTTCCGTGCACCCTATGACATCTTTGGGGCTAACATCATCTGGTCCATCCTCACTGTTGCTATAATGTTCGAGTACACTGTTGGTACGTATCATTTCTATGCATGAATAGCTATTTAAGTCTGCTGATTGTAACATTATGAACATGTGGATATCCTATATTTCCATATGAACATTATTGAAGTATGAGAAAATATTTATGATTGAAAAGTATTGATAATGTTATCCATTTGCAGGTGCAACATTCAATCGCGGATTCAATCGAGCCGTCGGAAGTGTATTTGCTGGAGTATTTGCAGTAGTTGTTATTCAGGTGGCTATGTCTAGTGGCCATATTGCAGAACCATACATCATTGGTTTCAGCATATTTCTCATTGGTATGCCTTAAAACTGACCAGTATTCTACATATAGGCAATCCATGATTTCACCCATTTGTATTAACAAGATAAACAAGCTAGAGTTCTTTGCATTAACTCAGTATTTCTTAAATATTCTTAATGTGAAATATGATTGATATGTAGGTGCTGTAACATCATTTATGAAGCTATGGCCATCACTAGTTCCATATGAATATGGTTTTCGAGTTATCCTATTCACATATTGCTTGATCATCGTATCGGGCTACCGCATGGGAAATCCCATCAGGACTGCAATGGACAGACTCTACTCAATTGCGATCGGAGCCCTCATAGCCGTTTTAGTAAATGTCTTTATCTGCCCAATATGGGCAGGGGAGCAACTGCACAGGGAGCTAGTTAACAGCTTCAACTCTCTCGCAGACTCCTTAGAAGGTATTTTTCTCAGCATCCTAGTCTTTGTGGTGATTTCTTGTCGATCACTGTTGAGAACAATAATATAATTCTTTTTCTATCACAGAGTGTGTCAAGAAGTATCTAAGTGATGATGGTTCCGAACATCCAGAGTTCTCAAAGACAGTCATGGATAACTTCCCTGATGAACCAGCATTCAGGAAGTGCCGAGCTACGTTAAATTCGTCAGCGAAGTTTGACTCTCTGGTAAATTCTGAATTTCATATGATCATTCTGCACTATAAATTTATAATCAACAACTTAACAGCTAATATTTTGCCATTGATATGATGATTAATTTTCTAGGCGAACTCTGCTAAATGGGAACCACCACATGGGAGATTCAAGCACTTCTTTTACCCATGGGCAGAGTATGTGAAAGTTGGCAATGTTCTTCGCCACTGTGCCTACGAGGTGATGGCTTTGCATGGTTGCGTGCACTCAGAGATTCAGGTATCATCACACTTATTCTGCCTGCATCTTATGTTCTTGTGCTAGACTTTACATTCTGATCCTTCACTGCCTATCTACAGCTCCATATCTAAATTCGTTATTTCAAATAAATAATTTTCAGACACAGTTTTTGATGCAAACATAATAGAATAGGATATAAGAATTATATAACAAGGCAAGATACTTAGATGCAATGGTGAATTATCTTAGATGATCCTAGGTAAGAAGTGGCACCATGTGCTTACTTCATGTGATAATAGAATTTGGTGCCCTCATTGATACCTTTACATGCAACCTATTACCTCTTTGTCCTAGTAGCGGAAAACACTATATTCTCATTCTATGATGCAATACAATACAAAATACTCAAAAAGGCGATTATTATGTTTCATCCGAGGACCAGCAAAGAACATACCTAACATGTGAGGGATGTTGTGATTTCTTGAAGGACGTCTAGTTAGTAAATAATAAGCAGTCAACACACCATCACCATAGTTCATATCTTCTGGGGATCAAACTTGTTAGCCTCCTTGACCCAAGTTTAACATTCTTGAGAGTACAATTTAACCATGGAAGGGGTTATTTCACCATGCAAAAGACCTGAGGACAAGGATAACAGGTGATCAAATCAAACACTGAATACTTTGGCTGGTAAAACTAACATGGCAAGTATTTGAGATTGGAAACTTGAGCCTTGAGGATTATGACCTACAAAATTTTTAAGAAGAGCAGGGAAACACAAAGAAAAGAAAAGAAAAGGCCATGTGCTGTAAGATGGCAAGCCAATTAAGAATTGACACCGATGTTATGAGCAAAAACTTAACAAGATTCAACTTGTTTTAGAAAAAGTAAAGCAGAAATGAAATTGTTGAAAAGTGCACACTTCCACATGATGTCCTGAGTTCCACTAACTTTGCATTTGCATACTTTCTGGTGTGTGCTTAGTATCATCAAAGCAATGATAAATAGTATAGTCATGATGCTCTTAACCTTATTTTGCATATAACACTAGTACTTGCATTATTGCAGGCCCCATACAACCTAAGGTGTGCCTTCAAGTCCGAGATCTTAGATGCCACAAAGCAAGCAGCGGAGCTGTTGCGCGGTTTGGCAAAAGATTTAAACAACATGAAGTGGAGCCTCCAAACTAGCTTACTTAAGCATGTTCATGTCTCGACCGAGCGTCTGCAACATTCAATTGACTTGCACTCCTACCTGTTCACCGCAAGTCAGGAAGACAACTATGCCAAACCACAATTGAAAATCTCAAGGGTTGTGTCTTTCAAGAACCAGTCCGGTGAACCAGAAAGCAAGACAACTGAAACCAGAACACCAATGGCGATGGAAGTTGAATCCTACCATGAGATGATGAAAAGGCAGCAGAGGAAGCTGCATTCATGGCCTTCCAGGGAGGTGGATGATTTTGAAGATGACGAAAATGTTGTTTCTGATCTCATTCCAAGGATGCGTGCACTTGAAAGCACCACAGCGCTGTCACTTGCAACTTTCACATCACTACTGATTGAATTTGTTGCTAGGCTTGATCATTTGGTTGAGGCTGCTGAGAGGCTTGCTACGATGGCAAGGTTCAAGCAGCAGATTGCAAACTAACCATTCAATGGCACTAACAGATTAAATACTAGCATAGTTACAGGATACAGAACTAAGTGCATACTATCTACCCAAAGCATCAAGTGATGTAACATTGTTGTTTGCTCTTTCTTGTACTAGAAAGGGGGAAAGTGTGTTTACATACTGGTATTTGCCAGTGGAGATATAAAATGTAATAGAAATTATACATGTTAACCTAATCCTGTGTGATCTGTCTAGCAAGGGGTGTAATTCCCATACATGACCAATCTTTTTAGAACAATCACACTAGTTTAGTTCTCTGGAGTCACTAATGGCATAGTGATGGTGGCATGGTGGTGATTAGCATTGTGCATCCAACGATCAAAGTGTCCATATGATTTTTTCTCGAAAAGTTTGGTTCAGTTAATATCATTCAGGAGCATCTATGTACAAATTGGCTTATTGAGCTGACTCACAAGTCATAACCAAGTGCAATTTTCAGTGAACTATACACTGAACTGAACACCCTGACGCACTATCAGTCTATATCATGGAGTGATGGAAGGCAAGGCATATGCTCAAATATATATTCCGTGTGCAATCCTACCATGACGAGGAGGGCATTCGATCCAACTTCCAAGACAGACCAGGTTAGCTAAACCCTTCACATCGAAGAAACCAAAACAAACTCCTCTCAAAAAAGAAACCAAAACAAACACAACATGCGCAGACGCAAAGAATAACGCCAAGTCTCCACTACGTGTGACATCCAATCTAGACAGTCAAAATGCCGAAAATCTAGAACAAGAACAACTAGAGAACCCTCACGGGCATAACGCCGAGCACCTGGTTCGCGCTCCACCACGATGGCGGCGGAAGGAGAGCAGGAGACCTCCGATCCCCCTCCCCCCGAGGAAACCCCACCCCCAACCACCCCCCACGAAGACCGTCGCCTTGCACCGACCAATCGGCCGACGCGACGGCCGGCGAGGAGACCGGATGCGGCGCCACCGCCGCCTCCGTCGAAACGGCCACCGTCGCCGCGCCGCCGCGGGACCTCCGCTTCTTTCACCTAGTAATGGGCCGTGCCGCTCCAGAATAGTGGGCCGAGCCGAGCGGGATAAGGCCCACGCGAGAAAGCCCAACTAACCCGGTTCGAAGCCTATCCACTTCCAACGGCCGAGACGACGCGGCCTCTCTCCCAATCTCGCGCGCCACCTCAGCCACCGCCACCGCCACCGCCGCGGCGCCATGGCCAGCGTCGCCTCCTCCACCGTGTTCGCCTCCTCCCTCCCCCACCACCGGGCGACGACGAGGGCGCCTCCAACGCCGCCGCGCATCCCGCGCCGCGCCAGGCTCCCCGGCCGCTCGGTACGCGCGCGCGCAGGCGCTTTCATCCACGTCGTAGGGGGATGACGATGGCCTGATACGAGCTGTTTGTGCAGGTGGTGAGCTGCCTTCCGAAACGGGGGTCGGAGAAGCTTGTGGTCACTAGGGCATCGGATGAGGAGGGGCCGCCTGAGCCGGCGGGCCAGGGCCGGGGAGGGGGAAGAGCCTGGCCGTCGTTGGACGCGTCGTCGTGCGGGCTCGCGCTCGCGGCGGCGGCGGGGGTGCTCATGCTGCAGGGGTCGCAGCAGGCTCTGGCCGGCACGGAGTTCATGGGGATGCAGGATGTGGTGGGGGATCTCGGTGACATCAGTACAGGTTTCGCATCAGTTAGGAGAACTACCTCTACTACCCTTTGATTACTACCCTTTCAGTTCTACGCAGCTGTTTATCCTCAGTTACAGTGTTCTGTGTTGATGTTGTTCATTGTATTCCAAATCTGCATTTCAGGCTTTTCTGTTGATCTTCTTTTCTGAGCTAGGGGACAGAACATTTTTCATCGCGGTAAGCGCTATCGTAACTATCCATTTATCATGTATGTACATAGTTTACATTGTTTTGCTGCAAATTGAATTTATAAGGATTCTTCATAGAGTGCTAACTTCAAATGTGTCTTGTGCAAATCATATCCTTGTCCAGAACTTCATGTATTTAATTCGTACTTCGATGTTCGAATGTATTTAAGTCATTTGAAGTAAGAAACGACTTATGCATCTGAGCGTCTCAATGATGATCAGCTTTTAAGGCATTGCATCTCATCCTTTGAGGGAATAGAGAAGTTGCATATGTGTTAGATATTAGCAGGGTTCCATAATACCAACTACCGAAAAAAAAAGGAAATCTTACAGGACAGGAAGGGTTACCCAACTACAGTTAGTTCAAGGCTTCAAGACCTTCCTGTTACTGAGTGATAGTATGAAATTCCATAAGAAGTTTATTCCGTTTCACAAGCTATGTGGCTTTGCTATTTACTTCTTTTACTGTACAAACAATTTGATAGTAATTTATACTAAATTGATCATTGATAAATGCTGCAGTTGCATGTATTTCAATAGGCACTTCTAGCAGCTAGAAATTCTGGAGCGATCATTTTTCTTGGCACATTTGGAGCGCTTGCGTAAGTCTACAATTGTGTTGTTATGCTTTCTATATGCTAAGTTGCTTTTACTGTATTAGTGCAAGATTTATGTGCTTATAATTACAGTTACAAAATCGATGCTACAAAGATATCTGCCATACACCAGTTTGGTTGACCCTTTTGGTGATTAACAGGGTAATGACAATTATATCTGTAGTTCTTGGACGAGCATTTCACTATGTTGATGGCATCATTCCATTTAGGTAATTGTACCTATTGTCAAATAGGACCTTCCATTAGTCATTCTTTAGTTAACATACCTCTTGGCATATGCAGTTTTGGTGGCACAGATTTCCCAGTTGATGACTTTCTTGCTGCCTGTCTTTTGGTAAGGAAAATATTGCATATCATTGTTACATGCACACATGTAGAAATATGAACTCAATATTTGTGAAAGAATTCCAGTGTATGTATGCTTATTACTCATGAATTTCTATTTGAGGGTAACTTTATCATTCTAAATTATGTTTAACTATTTTAGGTATATTATGGAATTACTACATTGCTTGATGCAGCTTCAGGCGATGAAGAAAAGATGAACGAGGAGCAAGAGGAGGTAGAACATCAGAATTTTAAACTCTTAGGTTTAGTCAAGTCAATTATATTGCTAATTTCACGTAAAAACACTGTCTGGATCGAAGAAAATTCTCTTTAAATTTTTGTCACTGATTGAAGTTGTAGTCTCTAAAAATATTCAGTTGATCAAATTTTTATATGCTAATTGCATTTGAGTTCATATGTTCTGTTTTATGCTTAATTTACTAATATATAATATAGATATTGATCTGTTTGTGTCCTTGTTTTAAATAAAACCTATCAAAAGTACCTCAGACATTTTCATTGCATGATTAGCAGAACAAATTATTTTCAGAAGTGTGCTAAAAGGGCATGCATTCAAGTTGAACATCAATTTTCAGGAAAAATATTACAAATAAAATGTTCCAAGGACAAATTATTTTCAGAAGTATGCTAAAAGGGCATGCATTCAAGTTGATTATCAACTTTCAGGAAAAATATTACAAATATTATGTTCCAACGAATTGATATCTCACTGCAATTGTTTGGTTCATATGGTAGTATGCTTTCCCTTGGTTATGTTTCTATCTGATATGGAACTCCGTATAACACAACTGCAGGCTGAGTTAGCAGTTTCAAAATTTTTGGGAAATGGTGCGGGGATCATATCTGCTGCCAGTACTATTGCTAGCACATTTGTTTTGGTTTTTATCGCCGAATGGGGTGATAAATCATTTTTCTCTACCATCGGTAAATCCCATAAACTTATTTTATATTAGTGTGAGATCTGTTTCTATCACAGCCAATATTAACACCAGTTTCCTTGTTACAGCACTTGCTGCGGCTTCATCTCCTCTGGGTGTCATTGCAGGATCACTTGCCGGTCACGCTGTTGCAACATTGGTAATATATATAGAGGCAAATAGTAGTTGAGATGATCCAGAACTAAACTCTACTATGCAGGAACATTCTGTAGCAAATTATCCATGACTAATGGCATTAGTATCCTGAAAATTGCTTAGTTCTTAGGTACTTGATCCATTGTTGCCCCAGTCATGTGCCTTGCGAGAATCCTTTACTTTTAAAAGGATTAATTAACTTCCCTCCTTCATAGCATAACTGGGCAAGGAAGCCTTTTCAAGCTATTCCATCACTCCCCAAAGAACACCTGTTTTATGGATCATAAACCCTATGAGGGGCAGGAAACTTACCAACTAGTGTTCCTGTTGCTCAACTTCAGAACTTCTATCTCTTTTTTCCCCTGGAGATGTGATATTGATCAATTTATCTCTACAACAGATTGCAGTTCTTGGTGGCTCTTTGCTGGGGACGTTCTTGTCTGAAAAGGTATACTTATACTACCAACGCAACTTGGTTTCCCTGTCCAAATGGATTTTACCCGAGTCACCTGATCCACTAGGTGGTTTTGCTCCTATGTTTAAAATGTTACATTTATTTTTTATGGACTTTGCTACAGATATATGGCTTGAATTTCCATTCAATTATCAGTTTGATTGAGCTTCATGCGCTAGTGAGTTTACTCTAGAGCTTCAGCTATTAGGAAAGGATGGGGCAATATACTCATAAATGAACAACATATAACATGTTCTGTATATATGGTATAGCGTGTAGACATTATTGCTTGCTGCATTGTATTTGAAATATATATTGGGAAAATAACTATGAGATTTCTGACAAGATTAAGATATATTTGCACAATTCATCTTTATCAAGTTTGCTTTACACTGAAAAGAATCGACCTGATGCAGATTGTAGCATACATTGGAGGGAGCCTCTTTTTAGCATTTGCTGCTGTGACACTAGTTGAGATCGTGAATTCGTGAAGGGGAGGAAGTTTCAAGATTTGCCAACAAATTACTGCACAGGTGTACAATGAATACAGAACTCGTGACATAGGTCTCTGCTGCCACATTGTTAAAACAATCTCAATTTTGATTTGCATAGCCATGTACTGATCTACTGTCAATCTTCGATTGCCCACAGGAACTTCATTGTTCACATGGATGGAACACAATTTGCCTGCATCTGATGATAAGATTACTTCACCAACATTTTTCGCCGGGTATTAATTTACCAACATGATTGGTAATCAAATTCAGAACTCAGAACATGTCAGATATTGATAATAGGTGGAATGTGAGATTACGTGAAAGCACTTTAATTTTTTTCCCAGAACTTTTCATTTTAACCTTTGCTCGTATAAGTCAGAGCATTGTAAAGTCAGAACACACTGATTTGGACCACACCGAGGTATAATTTCAGAGTCTAAGGCCCTCCACATACATGCAAGTTCGTCGCAAAATTTAAATTGATGATTAAATGATGGCATGTAACTCAATGCTCCACGACATAAAAATTGTAATGGTTATGCAACTAAAGTTCAACTGAAATGGCACCTACTGTGTAACAAATCTGAAGTTCTGAACCCATCTTTGGGTTACAAATTGGAATCAGGTATGCTTGCTAATCTCTTACTTCTAGAGCTAAATAAGCTTATCTGTTCTACTAGTTTCACAGCATACGGAACACTCGAACTGCATCTCTGTTCTTCGGATTCCCCTTGTAGATGGTCATCGTCGCCTCGTCGAGATCAACCAAGACGGTGCACAGAGTGTACAGTGTTGGACCTGAAATCATGCTCACGTTCATCAGTTCATCTCACAACCTTGCAATCTACTCCAAACACTCAGCATTTTTATCAATAACGGAAATCGATTCAGCATGCATCGAGTGAAGAAATGAAAGATGAAACCAATCACCTCACCTGTCATGTAGATCGGGTACTTGTCATCGGCCGTGTCCCCGAGCAGCGACAGCGCCTTCTCCTTGGTGTCCGGCGAGAGCTCCGCCGCTCTCCTCTCCCTGCTCATGGAGTTCTCGTCCTGCACCTGCAAATTCACATGGGTTTAGTTAGGGTCCCTCTAAATTGTAGGAATGGAAAAATGGAGAAATAGAAAAAACACATGATCTAATAAAAATTCAACTATAAAAATAGAGGGTTGCAAAACACATTAAAAAATATAAGAATAATCGTTTGATTAAACCGTAGGAATCGAATGAGCGAGATAAGCTCAGGAATTTTTCTAAGAGATTGGAGCGCTTGCTAAGTTTCACCCTAAATCTCTAGAGGATTGTCCATTCTATAAGAATTTCAAAGGATTATGATAGGATTCAATCATTTATCTTGAAGGAATTTATATGAAATTCTCCTATAGAAATGAGATCCTTCAAAATTGCTATGTTTTTTTTCCTATAAATCAAAGATGCCCTAACCAGTAACCTATTGATCATGGAAGAAGAAAAGGTTGCTACTTTCCTATCTGCTTGATTAATTACCTGGTTGACCTGGAGATGGCGGTACATGTTGGCGTGGAAGAAGGGCGCGGCGGCGGCCTCGCGCACGGAGAAGCGGTTGCCGGAGGCGGTCTCGACGTTGACGATCCTCCGGCGCCGGACGTCCATCAGGTTGTAGCTGTGGCCGACCGACATGGCCGGCGAGCTCACCCTCTGCTCCGATCGACGAGATCACCAAAAACAAACGCTAGCTGGTGAAACACTAATCGGAATGTTGTTCAGATGGGGAAAATGCAGTTGATGATGATGTGCGTGGTGGTGGTTACATTCATGGCGTCTTCGAGGCTCGTCGCTTCGAGGAGGTCGCGCGAGACGAAGTTCCGGGCGATGGCGCCGGCGACGACCTCGCCGCTCGCCGGCGGGACGGAGTCGAGCGTGAACGCCTGACAATTACTGGAAAGTTAACCCTGACGCCGGAAATGGGATCGAGTTCAGAGTGGTGTTGGCGCTGCCGGCCGTCGATCGCCTACGTACCACTCCGTTGCTGTTGAAGCCGAAGGCGCAGGTGGGGAGCTCGCCGGCGTAGGTGTAGGCGGTGAACGACGACGAGCCGTCCGGCGAGGTGGCCTTCACCACGTAGCTGGAAAAACCACAGGGATTCAGCGGGCTGAATTCCGTCAGGAAGCGGAATGTGAGGAGGAGGAGGTGGGAGTGCGTACGTGTGGCCGAGGAGCGCGACGTTGGCGTCCTCGTTGTGCGCGGCGATCGCCGCCGACTCGCCGACGATCAGGACGTCGGAGCAGTCGTCGTCGGCGTCGGCGGCGACGGCGGCGGCTTCGTCTTCCCGGTGGTGGTGTTGATCTTCCTCCTCTGTGATGAACGGCAGGAGCTCCTTCCTAAAGTTCACTAGAATCACCTGTTTACTCCCGCGAGTCAGCTCTAGTCAAATACTCCTATATTTTCTCTCCATCCTTTAAAAAAAAACAATTCTAACAACGAATCTAGTTAGATTATATTTTTTTTACAGGGTAGTATATATACGAGCATAGGAATATACAGTAGTCGTCTAAATTGGCATATGGGCTTAATCACCGGATGCTCCAAAAACAAGCCATTTCCGAACACATTAAGTTATTTTTGAAACGCGATAATTTTTATGCCGATTCGATTCATTTGAAGATCTCATATAATTCACGACGATAACATCGGGTATCGGGTTTATCAAGCTGGAAAAACAAACTGCTCAATAAAATCAGCCAAGTTAAAAAGTAAAAAAAAACCTAGACTTCATATATTCAACAAATTTTGTCCTAATAATCTATTTTAAATAGTGGACTAAAGCATTTAGCGGAGTTATAGCAGCTAAATTGTATATGAGAATAAATAATTAAAACACTTCTCAAACAGCAACAGCGAAAGATAGCAGCTATAACAGAAGATTTAAAACCCTGCTAATAATTTCACTGGGTAATACTAACCAGGAGCAGAGAGGGGGCAAAAGGGACATTTTACATGTAGGAGTGGGACCCCGCTGCCGTCGGCCGTCCCCACCATCTCGTCCCAGTAGCGCGGGTACCTCGCGCGGTTGGCGTCGCGGAGCGCGTCCACCAGCGCCCGCCCCGGCGCCGTCGACGCGAACGGGAGCAGCCGCCGCCGCAGCACGGCGTCGCCGCTCATCCTGCTCCTGATGGCCTCGCCGAACCTCCGCCCCACGGCGACCCCCAGCTCGTACCCACCGCCGCCGCACCGCCCGGCATCGAACACGTCCAGCTCGCCGCCGCCGCCATCGTCCACGGCGCCGCCCATGCTATGTGTGTGCTATATATGACCGGTGAAATGGCAGGAAAGGATCAAAGGAGCTTAAGCTTTTTTTGGTGCCTTATCTGCAACAATGCCTAGTGAAACTACAACAGCGTCAGGTTCACTGCCTTGTATAGTTTATGGGCTTGAATACTCGTTGGGCCGGGCCGGTTTGTAGTGAAGCCTGCTTCGAAATTGAGAGGGTGTTTGGATTGTGAATTTGTGACCCAATTAAATCGTGCCAAATAATTGGTACTGTAACAATAGTTTTTTTTTAATAAAAACATAGTACAAATGCAATCGTGTGCATGGCACATATGCACATACTTTTTTCTTTATGAACACACGTACAATCTATCACTATAAACATCTTCTATAGACTAGACCAGCTCCGGACTTCTTGCTCTCTACATCTTCGGGAACGATTAGGACGGGGGATTCCAAAAGGAGAATTTTATCGGGAGTTAATTTTTAGTTATCTCTTCAATTAAATCCAATTCACAAAAAAATCTGAGTATGGATTAAGAAATATTGGGATTGATTTATGAGCTTCTGTTGATGGGTCTCTTATAAACCATAGTCGTAAAAACGGTTTTCAAACAGGATTGAATTTCCAGCCGAGTATTCAAGGGAAAAATTGGACCTAAATATATACGAATCGTGAAGAGTTGAACAGTATATTTGATTCCCAACAAAATTCTAGTCCTCTTGGTATACTGGCAGCTGTGGAAGGAACATAATTTCACGGTTTTCGACTACTCACTCTTTTCTATTTTGGTGGTACTATAGTCCATGTTTGAAAGACTACGTGGTTTTCCGTGGGCGCCGTTGTTTTTGGAGTTTTGCTGAGAGTTACTAGGCTCCACCACCATCCTACCTGGCAATAGGAGTCCTTTCTTTTCTTAAAAGAGAGTTTTCTTCCTTTCGCAGTTTTTTCCTTTTCTTTTTTTTCATGTACTTGGTAATGGTTTTTCTAGTTGTTTGTGCTGTGCAATGAAAATCTATTTTTTCTTAATATATTAATGTGTAATCTTTTTATGGGTTCATGAAAAAAGATTCCCAACGAAATCATCGGGCTGGAATGTCTCATCAGTATTCAGTACTAGTAGTACTACTATAATTTATAATCTTGTCCGATGAACTGACAGCTCAAGTACAAATTATAGATCATTTTTCTCATGCACCAACGCTGGACAAAGTTCACCGACTAATCACAGAAAAAAGCTACACCATCCCATCTTATTAAACAGCAACTTTTGATCCAAAAGATAGAATCCAGCTGCAACTTTCAGATCCACCACAGTAACGCGGAAAAACTGTCACCATTAATTATTTGTTACGCTAACCAGCCCACATTAGTCCACATGACAGGACATCATTTGATGGTGTCAGCAAAATTCCACCGAAAGCAAAGTGGTGTGTGAACATATACTCCTTCCTAAAACAAATTCACTTTAAATTCAGAGAGAATAAGTTAGATGATAATTATTTGTGATTAATTAGTTGAGACGAAAAAATGGACGTGGAGTATATTTTATGATAAAATTTAGACTCTAAGTATATAAGTAATAGTTACTACCTCCATTCCTAAAAATAAGCATTTGTATCAAGTTTAGTAAAGATTAAAGTTACGAAAATGATTCCTTTCAGTCACCTCATTGGTCAATTTTAAATTTTAAATAATTTGGTTTCTTCTTCTAAGCACCCGCATCCCAAAATAAATCATTTTTTACATAAGAAGATTAGTGTAAGTTGATTTATTTTGATACGAAGGAAGTAATTACTTGAATGTGTGATTTTTGTGTATTGAAACCAGTGTCCTAAAAATACTTACATTATTTACATAGTTTGAATAAAAAGCACATATATTTGGAAATGGAAGGGGTAAACTGGTAGTACTCCCTCATTTCCAAAATGATTATCATATAACCTTTTTTAAGTTATTCCTGGTCATCATATTTATGTTCATTCATTAATTCTATTCGTTATTTGTGCATTAGAGTAAATGTATATTGATACATGCATCCATGCACGGGAGTATTTATAACCAACATGAATATATTGATTTGCTATTGGCTAGTAAGAAATAGTGGAGATGGTGCATGCATCTAATTTGTTGTCGGAGTAAATATAGTATGAGAGTTATTATCTTTTTTAGTCTTGGTGTATCTATGTAATATGATGATCAATTTAAAATGGAGGGAGTAATGCACAGCAGAAACTATTTATCTCATGTGCTCTTGGAATATTAAACCATTAATTGTAGGTAATCATAATACTTCTGTCATATTTTGTTTTAGAAAATGGATTTAAAACCCGATTTTCTACATGTGTTTCTACATCCACATGAAGGTACGCGCCGCAGAAGAGAAACTATTTATCTTATCCGCTCTTAGAATATTAAACCATTAATGTAGATAATCATAATACCTCTTTCATATTTAAAAATATATTATTAACTTTTTGTGATCAAACTTAAAAACTAATTCTCGAAACGTAAAATCATATGCGTAGATTTTTCTAAGTATTTTTTTATACTATCTAGTTTTGTTAGATATGGAGTATTATCGTTATATCCTAAGCAAAATAGTTGTCTAAAGTTACTCTAGACATCAAAGACCAATAAAACCAACAATATCATGTACTACACTTAATACGAAGGCACTAGCTACAATACTTCTCAAACTTCCAGTGAAGTCCAGAATTCCAGATGCCCCATCTACGGTCTCCAACTCTCCATATTGCAAACAAAGAGAGAGTAAAAACTAAACACACCATTCTCCTAGTGAAGTGAGATTGGTTGCAGTGACCAAGCTACAAAGTACAAAGCACTAATTAAAAAGGAGGGTTTGGGGGGTGTTCATTGGGAAAGGGAGAGCAAAGGGTCCTTGGAATTTGGAGATGGCCACATCTGAAGCCAATTTTTATACAATTAGCTCATCCAATTGGGGCCTAAACTAAAGTGATTAAAGAAAATGGGGGCTTCAGGGGTTGCAGACACGAGGTGGAGGAGATGGGGGTGCAGGCCTCCACATGCACAGTACTAACACCCTCTCTGTAAGTTCCAACTCTCCTTGCTCTACTGCCTTTGGCAACTTTAGGGTTAGGGTTTCACACCCCCGACAAGCGCCACACCTCTCTCTCTCTCTCTCTCTCTCTCTCTCTCTCTCTCTCTCTCATCTCGGTCTTCTTGGCAAGTTGCAGAACTCAGCCATATGAAATTTATGCATTCAGGTTCAGAAATGAAATGAGCTGCTGCAAAGCAAAGGTTGAATGTGGAATTTGCAGTGAGAATATGGCTGCAGAGTATGGGTTTCTCAACTTGCATGGTCTGGAAATGGAACCGTCTACAACATGAAGCAAGTGTGACTGTTTTCCAACTTCTACTAGCTACTTGCATTCTTGCAGAGATCTGCAGTTGTTCTCCTTAATTTGTCATGGGTGCAGTGCAACCTGGCATTGCTGAATAATGTCAGGTAAAGAGTGTCATTTAGGTTTAGCATTTTTCTCATGCTGGTGGCAACTGTTAAGTAGATAATTTTATTTCTTGCAAGTTTCCCATTCTTTCTTGTAGCTGATTGAGTGATCGACGAACAGATGCCCTAGCTAACCAACTATGCTGATTTTTGAGACATAATTTAATTTCAAACTTTTTGGTGATGCTAAGAAATCATGCTATTGGGACTTGGGAGATGGTCAGAAATATTCCTTGGAAATTCAGAAGGCATTGCAATGCTCAGATTCTTGCAGCGGCGTCTCTCCTAACCACATGCAAGAGCCTGAACAACCAACAGCTAGCGCCAAGATTTGCAAACAAACTACTACTAATACACATGAATTTGACCACACCATGTTGAATTTGTTTCTTAATTAAACCGTGCTGGTATTGTTTAACAAGGACTATCTAGGGAGCTTAAATTCGAAGCCAAGAGCATGTACACACAACGACCGGCCGTAAGTTGCATCTGTTAATAAACACTCGAAACATCGAACAACACCACAAGCATTAGCAACAACACTGCACCCATCATTTCCTTGATCTAATCATGCAGTCAATCGTTAACAACATAGGAGTATGCATTGCTAATAGTGTTCTGCAGAAAATTTCCCAATTAATTTGCATCTTTCCTCGCTGTACATGTTCCCAGGCACGCATGCTGCATGCACATCGATCACCAGCTTCTGTCAGATTTGCAATGGAAACGAGAACTCGTAAAGAAAAGGCAGTGCCACTCACATATCACATCTATGATAATAGATGGACATGGCCGCATAGGGCTCCAGCGACGCTGCATTTTCTTTCTCTCTCTCTCTCTCTCTCTCTCTCTCTCTCTCTCTCTCTCCTGATGGTAAACTCTCCCAATAACAACAAACTTTCGGTGCTATTCTATTTTAAACAAGCTTAATTAGGAGTAGCATTTATGTGAATGATCTGAAAAACTAAGCCCCTGTGTCAGTTGCTAATAAAAAACTAGTTGTACTAATTAACTTGTAACCTATCCTTGAGAAGGTATATATATATATATATATATATATATATATATATATATATATATATATAAAGATAAAAAAAAGTAAATCAAAAATTAAACCGATTAAATTGTTTAGAACAAAAGTAAGTACATGGTTTACAATGTGAAAATTTTCTGGTGAGATATAGAATAACCCCAAAGGTATATATATACCTCCTATACATATCCTTTCAAGGGCTGAAGAAAACTCAAAAATAGATATAAAGATGAATTTCCAATCCACTCTCACGAGTCCCATTCAAAAGATTAGTTTTAGTATCTCCCTTCACACAAGGCACCTCTATATATAAATGATGAGTAGGTATATATACCTACCCAAGATGAGATAAAATCTCTGAAAGGCAATTTTAAAACAACGACCCAAGCAACGGAAAATAATTTTAGAGAGAGCTGCAGCTCAACAAGCAGACCCTGTCTAGTCACGGGCTGCATACCTGCAATCACCCGAGAAAAGACGTCTCAGAAAAAAAAATGCCTCAGAAATTGGTACTCCATTTTGTAGTTTATGAAAAGGATGGTGAACAAGTTGAAACAAATTATATGAATGACTAAAAGCAGATGGTTAACAAGGTACCTCCTCCGCCTCAAAATATAAGTATTTTTAAAACCACGTCACGGTCTCCGAGATATTTTAAATAAAAATATTTACATA